TGACCCTGCAAAGGTTGGTAGGGGCAACAGCTTTTACCAGACAGGTTTGAGGAACATACAGTAAAGGTTATGAGGAGCTGGGAGAACCACAGGAATACTTGACAAAGGCTGTGTCTCTGGTACCAGCTGACCCAGAGCCATGGAGACTTCTTACCTGGTACGGTGGATCATGTGTGATGGGATGGGCCCTAGGATTCTTCTCCATCATAACCAAGTGTTCTCTGTTTTCATGAGTCTGCAGAAGATCAGGGATAGAACAAGTAAGAATTAAGTCAACTTCTGCCCATTTTGGAAGAGTAAAGGGTGAGAAAAGACAGGCCAAAAGCTCCCCACTCCAGGAGAGGGAAAACTGTCCTCAACCTGGTGGCATCCCACAGGCCTAGATAGAACCAGGGCTGGACTCATGTTTTTCAGTCCCATAGGTGGACCTGGCTGGCTGATTGCACACCAGGTTGGTTCTTCATGCCACAGGATTGCTATGATAAGTTCTTGCCCAGACAGAATCTGTTTGTACCCAGTCTTTTCCTGGATGAAATCCTCCCTACCTGCTTTAGACTCTTAACTGATTCCTTGCCTGAGCAACTATAACCCCTAAGAGTCTAGATTCACATGAACTGGTAGGGATGGAATGGAAAGTATCAATTCCTTAACCACACAGCTTCTTGACCATGTGCCCTACAGCCCACCAACCCAGTACTATACCTGGAAGAGGGTAAAGCCACGGTAGTACTCGAAAAGAATACAGCCAATACTCCAGGACATCACAGGGCTGTGCCCAGCCCAGCTCTGTAAGCCAAGATGGCAAAATGTGAGACTCAACACCCTACATTCCCAGGAAGCTGCCATTCTAGCTGGCATAGCTATTGCCCAAGCCCTACTAACAAGGCTGTGTCTGACTAACACCAAGTCTACCTGGTGTCTTGGATATTGTCCAGTCCGGGCAGCAGATTGATTGGTACTGTTTACCACATGCCTCACTTTGAGACAGGGTCTCGTGTAACCAACGCTGGTTTAAACTGATCTTTTCTGCCTTCTAAAAACTTGATTACAGATGTGTGCCACCACATCCAGACATTCATTCTGACAACTGCCCCAGTGTAAACAATACTGGAGGCTATGAAACCACTCACCAAGGATCACCTCAGGTGGGCGATAGTGACGGGTAGCCACAATGGTGGTGTGATGTTCGTGGTCAAATGTGGCACTGCCAAAGTCTGCCACTCGGATGCTGGTGTTCTTCACTGACTTCTCCTCGCAGCTCTGAATGCAAGGCAGGCCAGCTAGGTCAGTCCTGCCCAGGTAGGTAACCTACCTTGAGCAGGGCCACACTCTTGCCCACCCAGTCAGTGCTCTACCTTGTGCTCATTGTAGAGGGTTTCAAACTCAGAATTCACAAACAAGATGTTCTCTGGCTTCAAGTCTGTGTGGGTCAGCTGGTTCTCATGTAGAACTAGAGGAGAGAGAAGCACAGATTGAGACCCTAGGCTTGCCCACAGCTTGTGGCCAGAGCTGCTCACTTACAACCCTAGCCCAGTTCTGTAAGGCCTCTTCATAATCCAGAAGACAGGGAAGGAAGGAATGCTTTCCATCAGAAAACCCCTCCACCACGCTCTAGAGAGGCAGAGCCTTACCATCTCACTGACGCCACATTAGTGAGTCCTCTCCTCAGTACTAGCTATATAATGGCTCACTGCACCAAAGTGTGACTGTTGGAAAGCATGCCTATGAAGCCATCCCGGAGAAGGAAAGTCTTCTGCATCCAATCACTGTCACTTTCTACTTTTCAACCTCAATGTTCCCATTTGGCCTATAAGATGCTCACAAGGCAGTCTAGACCTTTGCAGAACCTTGCCTCTTACTTGGTTCTTTTCCCCATCACCTAAGGTACTTAGGCCTGTGTAAGGTAGGTAGGCCTGCGTATCTTAGCTCTAGGCCTTGTCACTTTCCAAGCTGCCTTTCTACCTAAGTCCTACAGTGCACTGAGCACTGGGTTCCAGCAAAGCTGCTCTTCAAGGTTGGTGGACAGGTGAGTGACAGAGGTCTCTGAGTAGCAGGAGCCTGTCGAGTCCACTTTCTACCTTTTCCTCTTCTATGAAGGTGAAGGCAAGGTCAGTAGCTAGGCAACTTCTAGAGCACTTTCTCTTTTCTTCCTAAGCACTTGTGGAAGAGCCTGGCATATGTGGTCCCTCTAGCCTCACACTGAGATTCCTATCTGAAGATAGAAGAACCTTTCAGCCAGGGGCCCTAGGCTTAAGAGACCTTGCAGAACCATCAACAGTGTGCTAGAGGAAAGAGGGTGGCAAGACCACTAGGCGACTTTGTTTTGAGAACAAAGTACTCCATGCTCCAACCACCAATGGGCACTTACATCTAAGGGCATGGCAGAGCTGGTAGGCCATGTGCCGGACATGTGGTAGGGGGTAAGGCTGGAAGTTGTTCTCCTTCAGGAACTCAAAGGTGTTCTTGCCCAGGAGCTCAAAGGCGATGCACATATGACCATGGAAGTTGAACCAGTCAGACATCAGGACACACAGGCTAGAGGAAAAAAGGATAGGTGGGGTTCAAGCTCCGACTCACCTGACTCAACATTGTTTTGCATACCATGATACGATGCAACAGAGCACGTGTCTCAATCTACTATCACACAGATGGGCTCTGAGTGAGAAATGAACTCCCTACTGTGTGGAGGGACTTTAACTTTGGGATTAGCTCACCCGTGGCTGGAATGGTAAGCAGCCCTGCCAGTTACGAGGGGGAGATAGAATTACACCAGTACAACACAGGCCTCCGGGTACTACTAAGCTTCTTGAGGGCCTGGGCAGGTACATCCCCTCTGCTGAGTGTAGCACAGTGAAGTGCTTGGTATCTATCTGCCAAAGAAAAGCTCTGTAAGTGTCCAAACAAGCGTCACAAACCTGTGAAGTCCCTAACTCATAAATGCAGGGCTAGGACGACTTCAGAACACAAAGCCAGATTAGATAGAGCCTGAAGTCCAAGGGCTCTTTCCAGAAAGAACCCTGTCACACTCCCCTACTGAGTGTTTTGAGAAAGCAGTACCGAGCTCCTGTAAGACTCTGAGAAATCCCTGGGTGTTCGGGCAGCTGGAACTAGAGGATGCTACCCCACTGAGTGATGCCCTCTCACTCCTTGTAGATACTCACAACTTATTCTCTTTGTCCTTCTCCTTGATTTTCTTGAGAACATTAATTTCTAGACGAGCAGCCTCCCGGTACTTGCCCACATTACGGATGATCTTCAGGGCAACCTGTGACTTCCCTCTGTAGATCAGGAAAGACACGAAGGCTCTCATCAGCCAAGTGCCCAGCATGCTATCCTTTTCTGAAACCCAGCAACTCAATACCACTACATAATCCAGATTCTGAGGCAGTGTTTATACTTGAGGTACAACCTGTTAAAGCAACACCAGACCTCTGCTCACCATACAAGACCCCCTGGCATCTGTATGAACTCTCTTGGTTTCCATGCTGACGTATACCTTTATGATCTGAGAAACTTCTAGCTCCCCAGGGAGAATCTAGGCAGAAGAGTTGAGGCCAATCCTGACTAACCCCAGTCTCTGGAAGCTTATCTGATAACCTACCCTCCTGTAGGCCCCACTTCTTCACTGGAAGCCTGGGCCACTCCCTACACTACACTCTAATCCAGGTCCTTCCCCCAACTAACTAACTGTATCAGCATTTCCCACCAGCTACAGAGGGCCAGGAAGTTTCTCAGTGTCCCATGAGAGTTCCACTGTTGTTGCTCTACCCCACCCTAGCAGGCCATTTGTAGGATGTGACCGGACAAGGAAACATGCCAAACTGGGTTGCCAAGACTTGTCAATGAGAGCTAGTATTCAGGTGCCAGTGGAGACCTAAGATGAGGTGGCCCTGGCCCAGCAGGGTATACCCTCTGGTGCTTCAAGGGATGGCACTGATGCTGTGAATAGGTTCATAGACCCACAGGCAAAGACAACTTCAGAATTCCCTGCTCTGCTAGCCCTCATCCATTTTTCTGGTTTCATGGGCAGTGCAGGCTGAAGAGAGGCCACTACTTCAGACTTCTGAAACAAGTTGCCCCCTGCCATACACCCACACAATGGTCTGTCAAGGCTGTTGGCAGAGCTGAATTCTACCTCCACTGGCCCTGCATTGACTCCCTTTGAATTCTTTAAAGGTTCCCAAGACCTTATGTCTGTCCTTTAGTGACTTCAGAGGCTTATATCCCACCCCCAGCTTCAAAGAACAGTCCATACATTGGTAGCTGTCTTTCTGTATCACAGTTCTTGGATCGGTTATGTCTACATCTGGTCACAAGACAGTGAGTACATGTTCCTACACTCATTCTTGGGGGTCATGGTGGATGAACAAGCATTTGAATGGAAACTGGGAGCAGAGGAAAGCTTCTCGGTCACATTAGCACTTCATCTCACAGCTGACTTTGGGTTTAATGGTCCTTTCTAAGAAGCCCACTTAATGTGGGAGAACCATCAACAGCCCAGCTCGTCATCAAAGACTGAGGTCTAACTTGGGACACCACAGAGGATATTAATGCTTCATCTCTGAAGCAGTGGCTGGCATGGCTCACATGAGAGCACCAGCACTCTTTAGCTAATGTACTAAAGCAATTAGAGGTTAGTAAGGCAGGAACAACTGGTTCCCAGAGGGCTGCCTCACACCTACGGCTACAGGGAAGAAAGCAAGAATTCTAGTCTTGCAGATGATGAGGGGATACGTGTTCACCGCTAGGACTGGAGGGAGTGATTTGGTCTCAGTAGAATGACACAGACAGGCACTGCCTCTGTAATCTGGACCAAGTCAACATGAACTAGTCAAGACCCTAGTCACAAGCCGGGCAGTGGTGGCGCACGCCTTTAATCCCAGCACTTGGGAGGCAGAGGCAGGTGGATCTCTGTGAGTTTGAGGCCAGCCTGGTCTACAAGAGCTAGTTCCAGGACAGGCTCCAAAGTTAGAGGAACTCAGTCTCAAAAAACCAAAAAGGCCCCTGTCCCACTAGGGTGGGCAGCAGATGCTAGATGTGAAGGCCAGAGTTTCATGTCTCTCATCTGGCCCTGGGACCTCTCAGGCAGACATGGCAGGAGCAAAGGCAGCATGAGGCCAGGCCGGCAGCACTCTCATCCTTCTGACAGAGAGGGAGGCGAGCCCACTACTTTAGACTTCTGAAACAAGGTGTACCCCTCCCACCCCGACACAACACAGGTATAACTCATTCCAGGGCTGTTGGAAGAACTGAATTATACCTCCACTGGCCCTGTATTGACTCCCTTTGAATTCCTTATAGGTTCCCAGATCCTTTTATAGCTGTCCTTTTCTCTGCCCAAGAAATCAGAAAAAAAGAGATGCAGCCTGACCAAAAATCTCTAAAAGCTCATGGGATGCAGTTCCAGGCCACACCACAGAAGCCAGGCCTTGGCTCTGCCTGGTTATCAATGCCACAGCTCATAAAGGGCAGAGGCACCTATTAATCAGAAGTTCTTGGGCAGCGATGTCACATGCCTGTCAAATCTCATGAATTTCTCCCTTACTTCATGAGATTAGTAAAGCCCAGCACATACATCAGCACTGGTGCTACCCCCCCAAAAAGAGCTACACCCTGAGGAGAATCAAACTAGCTCTTCCAAGCATGCTCACACCCAGAGCTGGCTATGCCGCCCCTGCATGCTCACCTGGCATGGTCCAAGCACTCCACCACCTTGCCAAAGGTTCCTTCACCCAGGTTCCCCACGATCTCATCTGTGAGAGAGAAGAAGCTGGGCATCAGAGTCTGGAGGGCGGGAGTCTGGCAGCTCCTGCAAGTTCACAGCATTCAAATCCTCAAAAACAACAAAGGTTCTTGCTCACTGCTACACTCTTAAAAACAGAAGTTGCTAGTGTCTGTGTCATTCAGGCAATTACTGGTGGCCCCACTAAGGCGCCACGCGCACTAGGGCCCCTCCACGCAGGAGAGGTCTCATCTAACAAGGGGGGTAGAAAGTAGAGAGGTAAAGTTTTACGAAAGGTGGCTGTACATCGCTCTTGGAGCCAATCGCCGATCCGGCACACCAGGTGACCCTCCTTGTCATCTTCCACACTCCGGCTGCTGCGCTTACTGCTCTGTTGGCTTCTCTGCATGCACCGCCCCCCGAAACGCCATCCGACCAATCGCATGGTAGGCGGTTCCGATTGACAGATTGAGGTGTCAGTCAAAGGCAGAGGTGGAGACGGTGAGGAGCCGGTGGGTTGGTTGGTTGGATTTTCCAGATCCCAGCATTTCATAAGGCACACAGCATATATAACGATAGGGATATTGCAAGGGACACGTCAAGACACAAACTGACTTCAAAACAGAAAAGCAAAAACAGCTACAGGTATGTAAGAAAACTCGGACATTATCTCTAAGAAGAGTGCCACAATGCTCAGAAAGATGTCCAGCCTCTGACACAGAGGGGCCAGGCCCCAAGGACAGCCACAGCCCTGACTCCCTCCTCTTCTGAGTCTCCCCCGCCCTGACCCTCCCATGACTTTGGCCAGAGCTGAAGACGCAGGGAGAGTGGACGGCGCAAAAAGGCAGCTGGCCCAACCTGGGTCCAACCTTCAGGACTGATCTGAGGGCTATCCTGGCTTCTGCAGCAGCAGCATGCTCAGCCTGTCCTTGCCTGCCTCTGTTCGCCCACACAGCCTCACAACATGTTCAACAGCTGCCACGTAAAACCAAGCTACCACCTGCTCCCACATGACATCCTTGGCCAGACTTTTAAGCAACTACCAGAAACAGCCTTCTGCCAGCAGTCCTCCTGCCACCAGCCTCCAGCAGGAAATGAGCCTGGCTGAGATCCTCCAGGACAGCCGACCTTCAGGCCCCAAGCCAGCTCCTGGCCTGGCCTTAGGACTTGTGCAACTCATAAGCCAGACCCGTCCCACAACAACAGAGGGCACCCTAAATAAGCAGAGCAACAGACTTACACTGCCATCCAGTGGCAGCGTGTGGCACTGTGTGAGGCCACAGGCCATGCTGGATTCACTTACAAGAGTCAACCTTCAACCCATGCCACTCAAGTCACAGAGACTGGGCAAAGAAGATACCTCCACTGAACCCACCACTACTATTCAGAGGCCTCTTGGCCAGCAGGAGGACAGCATGGGGAGAAGAGATGGGGAGAAGAGAAGACAGCACATAACCTCAGAAACACACATGTGACTTTTCTTTTCCATGGGATTGAGTACAGTGTGGACTCTTGGTCTGTTCAACCCACCACCCTAGAATGCTGGCCAACCTCTGTTTTTAAGGGGTCAGCAACAAGGTGAGGCCTAGGTGCCCCAGCACACAAATGGCTGCCTCTCCTCATCACAAGTGCCTCACCTATCAAGGAACAAGGCAGAAGAGAACTGACTGTCAGGGCAAAGTGATATACGCTTACAGACCAGCAGCTTAGACGGCTCAACACAGAAATTCAAGATCCGTATCAAAAAAAGAAAGGGCTAGAAACTCAGGAAATAAATAGAGGCAAAAGGATCAGGAGTTTTAGGCCAACCTAGATACTTAACAAGATTTTCAAAAAACAAAGAGGAAGTGTGGGAACCAGGGTGTGACATACATCAGTGGTGGAGCACTTGCCTAGTATGTGTTGGCTCTCGGTTGGACTCCCAGCATTTAAAAAGTTAAAAAAAAAAAAAAATCTGACTGGTAAAGTGTCCCTTTTTCATTGGGTGATGGAGACTCTAGTACTCTGGGAGAGGGGGGCTGTGAGGTAAGGCGGCAGAGGTGGTTAAGTCCGCACTCAAAGTACTTAGCTAAGTGTGGGGAGTTGGGGGGAAGTTTGGAAGGGGACAAGACCTGATATGAAAAAGACCAGGCCGTATAACTCCAAACCATCAATCTTAGTACAATTCCTGAGGAGTGTGTACCAGACATGTGTACCATGTAGCCTAGATCTGGAACAGTGGGTAGACACAGACAGGCTGGAAACCAGCCAGCGCCGGAGCCAGAGCCCCTACAGTTACCACTGGCAAGGGGCCAGAAGATGGAGGGCATAACATCCTTGCTCAGCCCTGTACCAAACACGCACACGCACACACATATGTGCACACACAATGGTGTGTATGCACAGGGCTGCCAGTACTCACCCAGACCAGCCAGCCTGAGAGAAGGCTAGAAAGAGATGAGGCCTTTAGGCCCCTGTTAGCACACTCTGGCCACCACTCACCGAGGAGGCGCTGCTACAAGACCTGGTACGACGTTTGTGACAGTGGTGGGCATGCTTGCGGGTACGGTATGGCCCCCTCTCTCGTGACCGTCTTCGATGTCGAGAACGTGAAGACCCATAGCAGTCCTCTCCAAAGGATGGGCTCCGCTCCTCACACCGGTATGTATCGCTGTCACGGTGCTCGCGGTATCTCCGCTGGTAGGGTAGGCGGTCATGGCTGCCAAGAGGGGGTGGGGACATGAGTCAAGAAGGGCCCTACCAGCTGGGTTCCTGCCAGCAGGCAAGAGGCTTTTCTTTGCAAGGCCCCTGCAAAGACTCTCAAGGAAAGTGTCAGAGCTGAAGCATCCATGCTGAAGGAACTGAGCAGGGAGAAGGAGCAAAGGTACCAAGCTTACTCTCAGAGCCTTGGGTAATAACAGTGTCCTTCCAGTGCCACAGGAGGAAGAAGCAGAAATAGCAAGCGAGCACAGGGAAGGGCCTCCAACAGTGACAGAGTTGACTAGTCTGGTACAACTATTACTTTGGTCTGGGGACTCAGATAGGACTCAGGAGCAGTCTTTCTAAGGCTAGGACAATGTTCTACTTCCCACTGAGGAAGGCTCACAGTTGGGTGGCCTAGAAAATACAGAAGAAGGAGGATCATTTTGTGACAAAGACAGGACAAGGAAAGTGGCTTCTACTGAAGCCAGGAAACACAAATAAGGATATGCAAGCAGCCCAGAGATCGTGACAGGGTCCATGGGCATCTGGGCAGAGGCAGTCACCTAAAGGAACTTAAGGCCACCAGAGTCTCTGGGCCATCTGCTCATCTAGCTGAAGAAAGAAGAACTTCCTCCAACCCAGCTCCCACTCACCTTCTGGACCGTGATCTCCTTGGGGGAGGCTCCCTTCGGGATGGGTATCGTAGTCTACCTTCATGCTCCCGACTGTAAGACCGCCTCCTCTTCCAGCGGTAGCTCAGGTATGGGTCTGGCTCTGGGGAACGGTATCGCTTACAGTGATGCATCTAGGCCACAAGAAAGAGAAAGCCCTGCTCAGCACACAGCTCACTGCTTCCAGTCACAGGGCTGCCTGGTGCAGGCAGGTGTTCCTGAAGAAGAGGCCCATTGTTCTATTTAAGGGCAGCCCTCCCCCGCCCCAGGAGTTTATGAAGTAAAGAACTCTGAGGTCACAGTGACAGAACAGCATACAATGGGTGACTCTTCCTTTGCCAGTGAGTAAACAAACAGGTGCCTCCCCAGCACGGCCTAGGGGCCTAAACATTTGAGCCGGGTGAGCAGGGTCCAGATACAGAAGTAGAGCTCTTAGAGGGATGCTGAGCACTGCCACAGAGATTCCAAGGGCAGGGGGAAAGAGCTTCTTTGCTCAATTTCTTCCTACTATATCTAAATATACCAGGAGTCTGGAGCTAAAGAACTGGTGGCATGGAGCCAATGTACTGGTTTCAGAAACTGAAAGCTGCCCGGCTAAGGCACTGAACTGGATTCAACTCAAAGAAGTTGAAAACTCTTAAGTCAGTGACGAGTCACAGTAGAAAAGAGAACACTGACTCTTGAGCAAAGACACAGTATCTCATCAATATTCCCTACCTCTACCAGGGTCTAGCCAAGTGAATATAGGCCCAGAGGACCTGCCCAGCCCTTGTTGGCCCATCCAGTCTCAGCCCAGAAGATGCCACGCTCCTCGGAGAATCTAAGCTGCTTGCCTGAGGCACATTTTAGTGGCCCTCAGACCAACTCAGACCTATGCCAGATGCTCCACCTTAAACCAACACTATCACTGCCATCCCGCCTAGCTCCCCTAACAGCACTGTTTCCTGTGCTGCTGGTTAGATGCCAAGAGGTGGCTGCAGGTCTACACTTGGAAGCAGAAGCAGGCTTCCCATTCACTATCCCTAGCTACTGAGGACTGATATCAACAGAGGAGACTCCCAAGCTGGATCAGCAACCAGTTGAGGAAGATGGCTACATGAGGCTGGTACCCTTTTCACACATATCCTGCCCCTTCACATTTTCTCCACCAGATGGCCAGGCAAGAGCCCACACTGCTTGTTTGCTTCCCAAGCCGGCAACTGCTCACACCCAACCTCTAGTCTTGCACAGTTCTAGGCTTGCCTGGCCAAGTATCTTTTAAACAAATCCATCAAGGTTGCTTCATCTCACCAGCATAATCCAAAACTGAAACAGCTACTTGTGTATGTGCAGGACAGGGAGGCCAATTCATCTAAACCTCTGGGGGCCTCTGGAGAACTTAAAGGCACTGCCTTCTATCTCCCCACTAGTACACCTCCATCTGAAAAATCTGGGCCACCCAGAAATCCTTGAAGATAAACACTACACAAAATCGGTAGATTTGTTATTTTCCCAGTAGTCTGAATAATGTTTCTGTTTTCATTTTTTCCCCAATTACCTTAAGGCAAGTGCTCAACCTGTGTCCTGAAAGCAGTATTTCATGTCTCACTAATTGACCCAAAAGACATCCTACTGGCCAGGGCACATATCTTCCCCACAAGGCAAGTGTGGTCCTGCCCATCCTCATCAGGCAGACAAAGACCTATCTGGAGGATGTGGTAATGTGGTCTAATATACACCAGGCAACGTTTTCCTTCTGGGACCTAGAAAATTTTTATGACCGTATGTCTACTTGGGTGGAAAGTCACAGCTTCAGAGTCCAATGTCAACCTAATCCATGCCACTACCACTGCCACTGTTTGCCTTTGGGCAAGTTATTACACTACTCTGAGCTTCGGCCTCCTCTTGAAAGAAGGAAACAATAATCTCTTGCAGGTTCTGTAAGAATTAAGTATATCTGCCATATAAAGTCAAAAGCCTAGCACAGGTTTGGGCCTCAAGAAGTAAGACAGTCTGAGAAGGTTCCGGGTAACACTCAGCGTTATGATGAATGGCACAATTTATAATCCTTTCCATGGGAGCCGGTAGGAAGTTTTGGCAGAAAACCCTGAACTCAATCCCAGTGCTGCCACTTACTGGCCCTGTGGCCTTATTTATACGAGTCACTTTTGAGCTCGGTTCCAATGCCTGGAAAACGAAGATAAGACCTCCCAGACAGGCAAAGAAGGCCAAGTATGACGGCCATAAAGTACAACGTATAGGGTAGCAATGGAGATCACCTCCCTTGCAACTCAGCCCGGGCAGGTGAAATATAGGAACTATCAGGTGTCCCACGTCATCCCAGCCAGGGCTCTTGGGCCCATTTCTCATAAATTCCCTCCGATTTCTTGAGACCTCAGTAGAGAGGCTTTTTAAAACTTAAGCACCACAATTATGCATTGGGAGGCTCTGCACAATGGAAAAAAGGCAATGGTGACCAATGAAACCAAGCTAAGGATGCCAGCTTTTCTCTGAGCACAGGCCTGGCTGGCTTCTCATTTGCTGTTCCTGGCTAGAGAACCGGGCTGGACAAGAAGAACAGCCAGCCAGGTCAGCGGCTGCCCTCCCGGATTCCTGCCACCCCAGCGACCCATGGTTATTTTTGGCTGGCAGTGCCCCACCACTGCAACCTCAAACCTGCCACCTCGCAAGCTGCGGCTGCCACCGGGCAAAACGCTCCTCCTTTTCAAGGGCACGGAGGAGGGAAGCTGGAAGGCCGCCAACTCCGCCTTGACGGGGGCCAGACTCAAGCAATTCCCACCCAAGCATCAGGGCACCCGCACCCGGAACTAAAGCATAGAAGCTCCCGGCCGGACCGAGGAGCAGCCTGGACACTTGTACTCCCGGCTTGGTCTGACCCACTCTCCGGGATGGAGCGGTTCCATCATAACAAAACACCGAGGGGGCCGGAGGCCCTCACTCGAGTCCCTTCCTTCCGCCCGGATCCCGGGGACCTCAGAGCCCCGTTCCCCGTAACCGCCAAGGGAAGACCCGGCGACCAGAGGGAAGGCCAGCCTGAGCCAGAATCAAACTCCAGGCGGCTCGCGGCGGAGGTCTGCGGGCTAAGCCACGAGCCCGGGGCAGGGAAAGCCTTTCCAGGTTAGCTTATGTCGGACGCGAATCCAGCCCGCGGGGCCCGATGGGGATGCTCCCAGTCGCCTCGGAGGCCGCCTGGGCTCCGCCTCCAACACCGCGGGATCCAGAAAAGGGGTCTACAGTGACCGCCCTCCGGGAGAGAAGCGGCGGGTCAGGGGTGAGAGGTCGGGACCGCGGCCTGACGTGGGCCGAAAAGGGAAAAGGGTACAAGCCGAGACCCGACCGGGAGCCGAGGTGCCCGTACCAGCTTGCCCGTCCCCACCGACTCACCCAAGCCGCCCGGCCGCGGGCTCGGGCCCATACTCACCGTCTCCCAGGCTCCGGCTGCGGCTAGGCCCCACTCCCCACTCCGAGCGCCTCTTCCGCTTCCGGCTCCGGCCTCCGCCCGTGGCAGCACCGCCCCCTCGCGTGACGCAGCCGTCGGCGGCCCGGGCTCGACCCGGCCCAGAGGCCTGGCCGCTCTAGCCCCCAACTCGCAGGCTCTGGAGGATCGGCCTGCCCCTCTAGGGTCGGGACCGCAGCGGTGGAGGTGTCTTCCCGGAGGTCCCGGGAGCAGCCTCGGACCGCGGCTCGCCCCTCGTCGTGCGGTAGTGCACGTAGGCCCCCAGGGCCGCATCGGTGCGCGGCTGCGAACGGAGTCCGGCTCTGGACCGAAAGGAGGAACCCACCGGACTGCCAGGCTGGGTCCACTCCGCCGCCGCGGCCCGGCCGTGCTCGCCAGCCTCTTCCTGCGCGCGGAGAGGACCGGCATTGTTCTCCCGGGGCCCGGGAGGGCGCTAGAGACGAAAGCGGTAGCTGCGCCCGGGCAGAGGAAGGCGGGCGCGACTCCGCTTGCGCGCTAGAAGCAAACGACACATTCTGCTCTTGGCTTGTGCGGGTTTTTTGAAAGTCTTGGCGCCACGCCCCAGTTCGCTGGAACTTGCCGAACAGTCTCGGGGAAGATCCCCGCGGTCCCCGGCTGCGGGATCTGACGAAGAGGACGTCCCCTTACTTGAGCACCTCAGAGCGTCTCGCTGCCAATCAGCACGGTTGCTGGGCTAGAAAACCCGCGCCACACAAAAGCCCCGCGCCGTGCGGCGCTTCGGCTCTACCACTCGAGTCACTCGGCCAGCCTTTTTGCTGCGACCTCGAGCGTGCGGCCACTCAGACCAGACCCCTCCCACCTACTGACCCACGCTTTGTCGTGGCGGGATCATGAGGTCCTATTTTTCCAGTAAAAACAACAGGTCGCGGTCCTTTGGGAAGGCTTCGCTTTGACGGCGTCCCCGCCCCCGCGCGTCGCGCAGCCAAGCGGGCGGGTGCTGCACCTAATTACCCCACGCCACGCGAGGCCCGCGAGGCTGGAGCGGCCGGCCAAGGCGGGGCGCCTTTTCCCTTCAGGATCTCGCTGACTCAGCTAGGACAGCCAGGGTTTCCCATGTGCCCAGCTCCCCGTGCAGGATGAGATGCACGCCCACCCACCAGGCCCTGTCTCCCCCGAACTTCTCTCCCGTACTGCAACTGTCTCTAGAGACCTCAGCCTCTGACTGATGTAGTGGCCTGACATCTTCATCACCACCCAAGCAAACAGTGGCTGAATAAAAAAAAAAAGCTGGGTGATTACATTTGCTAATTTAGCCTCAGTTTGACCCCATGGTTAACTTTCAGCGACACAGACATTCAATAGCAGTTTCAACTGCTTCTGCCCTGGAGTCCCGCCCCAGGAGCCAAAGATACTGAAAAACCCAGGTGTCTGAAGATGCAGTTCCCACCTGAGACCCAGGGCCACAGTGACAATTTCACACCATACGTTCACAGGTTTCTCTCATCTCCTCCCACCAATATTACCCACCCACGTTTCCACAGCTGTGGGAAACCAGTATCCTCCAGTTTAAAGCCGACATCCTCAAAAAGCTCGTGTCCCCTGCCCTACCCTGGCATCAGGAATGAAGGGGGGAATCTTAGTCTTCCTGCCTGCCCTCCTAACATGAAAAATCCAGGCGATCTGCCCGAAGCTCCCACCTCTACCCAGCTCTAGAAAGCGCCCCTCACTGGCATAAACAGGAACTGTCTCTGCAACTTAGCCTTGAGGGTCTCCCATTAGAGCTTTGCTCTCTTGTCTCTCTTCATAAAGAACTCACACCTAACAGAAGGAAAGAATTAGTCCTGAAGTAAAGTTGGTTTGACTCGCTCCTCCCTGTGTAAATAAATGCACAGGTCATCTCTCCAGGCCACCCCCAAAGGAGGCTGGCTGCTCATCTGCTGGGCAGGCACCACACTTTGCCCAGCCTGTGCCCTTTGCCCATCAAGCCTTTTCCGTGTCCCTGGTCTGTAGCATGACTCTAGGGCACCAAGGAGATGTCCCTGTTCTGCTTTTACTCAACCCCCACAGCTCCTCTTGTTTCTCGATACCTTTTTCCACTCCCTAGGCTCTTGGGCCCCTGTTCTCTCTCTTCTGACTGCCCTTGCATTCTCCTCTGCCACATCCAGCTTCGTCCTGCCTGTGATGAAAGGATGCACTTTTGAGCCTCATCCCGAGGTCACCTCCCTCAAAAGCATCCTGAGGGAGGTCAGATTCCCCTTCTCTGTGCTGTGATGTCACCCTCCCTTGGTCCCTCACACCCAACAGTCTGGCTTGGAAAACCATGAGCCTCTTAAAACCAGTTCAGCAAACCCTGCTTCTCAAAGAGGATGATTGGCAGCCTTGCAGGAAGACTAATCCCGCTCGGGGCCAATTAGAATGGAGTTACGGGTGCTGTGCCAGGGCATGGGGTCAGAAATCATGGTCTGTCTTAGAGTGGCCTTGGGTGGTACTGGTGTAGGAAGCCAACCAAGAAGGGCTGTGGGAATGGGCCTGGAGTGGAGGGAGTCAACCTGCTGAGAGGGGGAGGGCCCTGCTGGAGGGTGCTACCAACCTGAGAGGGACAAAGTTCTAGGAGTATAAGGTGTGTTGAAGCCAGAGCCATGAAAGGTGAGGTAGGAGAGGGGCATGGACACCATCTGCTCAAATGGAGATATCTCAGCCCTTCCTAAAGCTGGAGTGGCAGACCTGGAGCCAGGGAATGGGAGGGCCACAGAGTCCTCCTCCATCCTATGAGTGGATGAAATCTCAGGAGCACTTGGTCCATCCCTTGTAGGTGAAGAAGCCAGTGGTGAGAAACGTTGGTACCACTGAGCTAGTCCACGAGTCCCCTCACCAAAGTGGTGGGTATGGAAGGCAGGAGCTGAAGCCAGAGAGCCACCAGAGCAGGGGTGAAGGTTTCTGGCTCCTTACATCATAAAGTAGTAGCTTGGGAATGTCCACCTGAGCTCTACAGTTTCCAGAGTCTACACTTGGAGGAAGACCACTGGGCAGCGGCAGAGTTGGGAGAAGTGAGCTACTGAGTCAGACAGAACTGAGAGCAAATTCCGGGCTTCCCAGGACTGCCAGCATGATCTGCGACATCCATCATCCTGTTTTCAGCTTCAGTTCCCCTCCAAACTGGCTCTTATAAGGATCAAACAGGTCTTGTTGGTTGAGGAAGGTTACCCAAAGTCAGCACCCATAGCTCAGAGAAGCCTAGACTTGAGAAACTAGATGGATTGAGGCTGATGTATATGTGAAATGTCAATCAAATCATTGAGGGACCCTGGGCCAGGGGTAAGGGGTGGGATGGACCCCAGTTCTGCATGGTGTCTGTGAAGCAATACCCAGCCTTGCCAGATGCCCCTGGGACTTCTGTTACTGTGTCCTCTATTCTGTGTCCACTGACTGAGTCCCACTAAAGGACTCGGGTAAGCACCAGCCTCCTGGGATTCAAGGCACAGCATGGTTCCTCTCTTCCTGGCAGGTGCTCAAAGTCCCAGAGTGGGACAGGAGGCAGTCAAAGGAGCTTCAGGTCGGGCCACCAGAGAATGGGCAGCTGTAAACCGAGCTGGCCAATCACCTCTGAGCAGTCCAGAGGCCCATTGGACCAAGTCCAAATTCGGCGGAAGTGTGAGCACAAGCCAGGAAGCCAGGCCTTCTGTGAGCCAATGTTCAAACAGAAAATGGGTCTCCCATCTTTTCCTCCAGGTCCTCCTCACCCACCTGCAGCCCTAAGGAATCTTTTAAGCTGACAGGGTTCCCATACCAGGATGAAAGCTCCGGAGTGCTCAGAGCTTCTGCCCATACCTGGGTTCATGTTCTAAGAGTCAGAGAGTCTGGGGAAGAAAGGGGAATGGGAGAGCCAGCAGCGAAGCCCTGTTGACAGAACTCTCTCATGGCTGTCCTGGAACTGTGCTTATATTTGGGAGGCAGGTGCTGGGTGAGGCCAGGTACTCTCACTGACTGGGGACAGAAGGGCCTGGATTCCTGTGCACACACAGCACACACAAGAGCTTCCTTATATAACCTCATAAACTGGCCATCACTATCACAGATGGGGAGGTGACTTTGTAGGCTGAGGCTCCCTCGTCAGGTCACACCACCCCTGCTCTAAGCAAGGGTACAAGTAGAGCCACTTGGATTGCCGAGATGCCCGAGTATTTAATGACTCAATGTCTCAGTCTATTGATGACCCTCATGAGTCCACTGTTCTCCACCCGGGTTGGGTGACCCTCAGGACCCAGGTGACAACCCATTTCTTTAGCCTCCCTGCTCTATAGCATTCCACAACAGAGTCCCTAGTCCTCATACTGCTATCCTGAGCTCTGGAGCCATCTTCAGCTCCAAGGGAGAGGTGGTGGTGGTGGTGGTGGCGGTGGTGGTGGCGGCGGTGGTGGTGGTGGTGGTGGTGTGTGTGTGTGTGTGTGTGTGTGTGATCAGCTGGGGGTGCAGGGTGCATGTCTGGAGCTCTGCAGTAAGAGATAACTGCTGAGCAGCCCCCCTCGCTCCCCCACCCTGAGCTATGAAGCACACTCCCTCATTTATAAGCCATCAGCTGGGCCCCTGGCTAGGAATCTGCTTTATCAGAGGCTGCAGCCTCTATCCTGCCTTGTGGGTTGAAAGGATGAGCCAGCACTCCCCAGCTGCTCCGCGGATCTGCTGCTGTCAGCATTCTTCCCAGAGGGTGGAATGCTTTCTGACCCACCAGGAGCAGGAGAGGCACCTGCTGCAGGGACCCCAGGGACAACAGGAGTGGAAGAGACAAGGCCAGAGAGCGAGTGAGGCTGGGGACTGCAAGGGATAGGAGTAGCAGAGGATAGGCAGACATCCCCTTTGTCTTCCTACTGCAGACAGGGACAGGGAAGACACAGCAGCATCTGGACCAGATGTGCTGGCAGCACCTTACCTAGAGTCTAGCCTAGAGACTCCTGGGGTAGGGATGACACCAGAGCCCCTCCCAAGCGGAAGTATGGCAAAGCTCTGCCCCCAGCTCTGTTACAGTTTCAACTCTGCCCTGTACTATATTCTCTGGTCTTCCTTCTTGAAGCAGGAACCAAGGAAGGAGTGCAGTAAGCAGGCTGTTACCCAACAGAGGGACCCTCTTTTCAACCTTTCACCATTCAGTCCAATTGCCCTTGGTCAAATAGAGAAATTGAGACCAGACTATAGGCAGAGCTTACATAGGTGCACAGTCCAAGTTGTGGGGAACTCCCAGCCATGACATACTCCCTTATATGAGGAGGCCTCAGAAGCCTGCCCTGCAGATGCTGAGGCCTGACTGAAGATCCAGGAGCAGAGCTGTGATGACGACAAGGCCCAGATACCTGGGGGGAGCTGAGACCTCTGCCTTGGCTCTGGAGTGGCGTTTGTACAGAAGCACCATCTGGTGCTTGCCCAGGTGGGTTAAAACCCCTGGCAGGACAGCACTCGGGAGGCAGAGGCAGGCGGATCTCTGTGAGTTTGAGACCAGCCTGGTCTACAAGAGCTAGTTCCAGGACAGGCTCCAAAACCACAGAGAAACCCTGTCTCGAAAAACCGAAAAAAAAAAAAAAAAAAAAAACCCTGGCAGGAGAAATGAGGGTACAGAGCAGGGCCCCAGCTCACATATGCCTGGGGGACAGAGAGCAGAGGGCCTGGCTTTATTCCTGGGGGCTTCTGAGGCTGGGTAAGGGCTACTAAGAACCGGTGGAAAAGAGAGTGACTAGGAGAGACTGACAAGGACAGGCCTTCGCCCAGTGTGACTTGAGGAGGTTCATCTACACGGCAGTTCCCACAACTAGCCCACTCTGCTAGCAGGTAACCCAGTGCAGGTCTAGAGTGGATGTTGGTTCACGGAAATGTCCCTACAGCTGGAATGTGGGAATG